CGAGCCGGGGGCAGCCCGGGGCGGTGCCCCCCCTCAGGTCCCTCGCGCCCTGCGCCGAGCTGACCGCTCCCCCAGCCCCGAGGCTGAGTTTCACCCTTTGGACAAGAACCAAGCGGAGAAGATGTCGCTTGAGTGCATGATGCTGTGGGAACAGGCAGCTATTATGAGTCAGCTGTGGGTTGGATGTGGCTATTTTGCCGAGCACATCCTGCCAGTTGTTACGGGGACTGTGGGAACTAATTAATTTGGTGGATCTAAGACTCGCAATACTCTCGGTCCAACCCCGACTAATGTCTTCTGGGCATTTTAAACAGCACACTTTTGCAAACGGTCTACCTAGGGATGACTAAATGTTGTCCTTAGCCACTGAAATCTCAGCTCATTTCTCCAAAATGTTCTTTTTTGAAATTAAACCCCTTACATTCGTTCAGATAAAATCATGTTTATCACCCCACTATCGATTAACATTGTGCTTTTTGCTTCCTTTTCTTGTCTTTTTTAAATCAACGGCAAAAGTCATAGAAAAATTCCCGCATGCTTTTGCAATCTAAAGGAGAGAAATTATGCGAAACAGAATAAAGTATAAAACATGCCACTGGTTCATGAACTTCATTATACGAAGAAGGAAAAAAAAGAGCCCCAGCAACAGACAGTTGCCATAGAAACACTCAAGCATCGAATGCTTGTTTACAAGAGACATCTCTCTATTGTTTCTTAAATCCCTTCCTAAGGATGGCAAATCAAAAAGCAATTGAGCATCAAAAAGGAAGAACAGAGATGTTTGAATAGGAAGTTGAACTCAGTACTTCAAAGGTTAAAGGTTTCTAATAATATTGATCCACCCTGTGGTTTTTTTTTTTCCCCTCTGTTTAGGTTAAATCCCTGCTGTATCACTGATTTATACTTAATTTTCACGCTGGCAAAAATTAAGACAAAAAGTAAGGCACCAAAAAAAAACCTGCCCTGTACAACAACAAGCCTCATTAGTTATTACAGCCGAGGTGAAAACGTGCAAGTACTTGAGCTGCATGTTGTGTTTCTGATTAAGATCCCATAAACAGGTTATTTCTTTATGCTATGTCCTATTTTGTCAGTTGAACAAGATGCTGAATCCAGGAATTCATGAGCATCAGTACAAAATGTAAGGATGGTTTATTCCCAGTCCATGAAGGCAGTCCTTCGTCAGAACAAATACTGAGTTACAAGGAGCACATCACCCTTGCTGGTAACATCGATTTGTTTACCAGACTTCTAATTCCTTGGTAAACGTAATGGAGGGTCTTCTTAATTAATGGCAGACTTCTTGGGGGCGGGGATGTATAAAACGATATGTTTTCCCCATCTGGCTGATTGGTATTTTCAGTAACGAAAGCTACACCATAGCTGTACAGACTACAGTGCTAAGCAGTAATGCAACTGCGTTCTTTATGAAGTCTCCATATTTATAAATAGCCCGCTGATGCAGATCATAGAGACGCTTTATGCAATCTGCTCTCCAGTCATTTAAAACTACACATAATGTTTGTGGCATGATTGTATCATTTGTAGAAAACTATAAAAAATCCATTCAAAATAAAAATTTGATAGACAAACGAACATGCTGCACATGCTTCAACAGAGTGAGAAAGATGCCTCATATTTTACTTCCTTTGCTGCAGCACATTTTATTACTTGGTAAAGATTCCTTTTTCCTTAAGGATTTTTTCCAAGATTCACTTATGTTGCTCTTGTCATTACATCCAGTCTCAAAATAGTCATAAAATTTGCCTTTACATTCGAGAGCATGGGTGCCTCTTACAGGTTCACAGTTTAGGGCGACGCTCTCTCGCTCAGGTTCATTACCTCCTTTCTCGTCATTAAATTTTGCCTTTTCCTGATTACTGTGAGACCTGGCATTAGTGATGAATATTTCATTAGCAGGTATCTGGTCATCACTCCTGTAAGAAGAGGCACTGCCAGTGTCATAATCCACCTGCTGGGAACAGCTTGGCAAAGAAATGGGGGGGGAGGGGGAGGAGGAGGAGGAGGAGGAGGAGGAGGAAGAGGAAGTATTTTCTGTACTAGCATTAACAGAGTAGGGTAGATTTAAATAGTGACTGCCACATTCTTGATAGAAGCAGCACGTGTGGAGCTTCTCGTACTCCTCCTTTGCCATCCGAAGGCGTTTTCTGTACGGACAGTCCTGAGGCACAAACCACTCTTGCGGCGAGGTGCCACTGAAGGAGCAGGCGGAGAAGCACCAGTTGTTCTGCATGATGATTTCTCCGTGGATTCTCTTCATTAGATTGTTGATGAGGACAGATCTCCGCAGGTAGACTTCAGGATCATCAATGAATTTCAGCTTTTCCAAAGACATGTAAAGAATATGGGCCCGCTCCTCAAACACGGAGATTGTCTGAAAATGCAAAAGACAGAAGATACGAAGCTGAAGGCAACCGGTTTTGTTCCAGGCAAGGAGAAAGAAAAGGAAGCAAAGCATTCCCCCTCTGTCACTACTTTTCTCATTCTCTTTCTGAGGCGCCTAAAACTGGCTTTTCATCTTGCACACCCCTGTAGCTGGGGACCTGCTTTTTCTTGGCCGCAGCATTCACCCAGGCTTAGGAGGCACGTAGCTGAGCGTTACACCAGAGAGGCAATCGCAGGGCACGAATCCAGGATGGGAGAGCGAAATCCAGATGCACGCATCTGGCTCTTTATTTGCATTTGGGGTTACAACATAAAATCGTTGTGCAGTTTTGCTCCAGTGATGGCTGGGGGCTTTTTGATGTAAATGGACCCAATTCCATCACCCCCCCGTGGGGCTTCTACAAAGCTCTGAAGCCAAGCGAAGGTCCCCTCCTGCAGCCTCAAGGTTTGCAAGACGCAGCCAGCAGCCGTCGCCTCACGCGGCAAGTGTCGGAGCATTTCATCCACTGCCAGTGGAAGAGGCTCTCCAGCGAGGAGGTCTCCATTTGCCAAGCTCCCTTCTACTGCTCTTGTGTACAAAAGTGCATGCAGGGAGGGAGGCAGGGAGAAACCCATCTCAAAGCATCACGGCATCTGGAGAGCAGCTGTTGGCCTGCATACTACACCCTGCGCTCTACAGGACCGGTGGGAATGCAGATAGGCAGGGACAAGGTCAGGAAACGAAGAGAGGATAGGGATTTGCAGAAATCCTGGCTCGACGCCCACAGATTTGTTCTCCCTTCCATGGTCCTTCCAGAACTCCCTTTCTCGGCACTGGCAGCGTGAGCAGGTTACTGCCCCCGGGAGGCCCCGGATTCTGCGCTGTAATCGCTACCCTGGGAATCAAAATAAGAGAGGGGGCAATGCATGCTACTGTAAGCACTATTAACTAATTTTCAATTTTAGTAAGAATTTGGTTTACGTAGGAGGTAGAGCAGCACAGCACAAAGAGAGGCTGCTCTAAATCCCCCCCATCTGTGGCTTGATCATTCTTCCCTTTCCCACATGGTTACAGCATTTTTGCAGAGTGGAAGTCGTAGCTATGAGGACTGAAAGAGCTTAAAGCACAGCTGCTTTTCACATCCATTCAGCTCTCCTCAGCCCTCTAGCTCTTTCCACAGCCTGGTCCTGTCTGCAGGGCTCAGAAGCAGCACAGCGCCTCGTAAAAACAAAAATTGGCCGTGTTTTCATGTAAGTTCACAGCTGAAGCTCTTCTTTGTTAGAGAGAGTAATTTTCTATAATAAATGACTCATTTTAAATTGTATTAAGCCTATAGGTTAATTTGCGTCCTTTATACCTGCTGCAGCAATAGTCAGTGAAGACATAAAAGCCTGGAGCAAACCAGTAAGCCTTGAACTGCGATCCTCCTGGAGATACATCCTGGAGGGCCACCAGTAGGAGCAAGTTGTCAAAGGCTTTCTACTACAAATGTCTGCCAACAGCCCTGGAGAGGGGCGCTGGGCCCCACCGTCATACCCTCTATGGGACAAGGAATCTCAGAACATAACTCACTCATTACTTCCACATATTTCTAAGAAATTCAAAGAAATCTGGTGGACATCTTCCCTTCCCCAGAGCTCAGTGTTGCAAAGCAGAAAACACATTTGAGCTGAACAGAAGAAAGTGGTGACCCAGGGTTTCTGATGTGATACACCTCTACGACACCACAAAATGATGTCTGGGACAGGTCTCTCTTACCACTACCTCTATACCGGTTTTTATGCTGTTAGAAAGGGATAAGTAACTATTCCTCCTCTTTGCAAGGAAAACAAACACTGATACAAAAAATCCAACAATCTAGCCAAGAAAAGACCTCACTGAAATCAGAGAGGGATGTAACATGTGGGAGACACGCTCACTAACCAGAGCACAATTTTTCAACACCCTCGGTGCTATTTATTCATTGCTCTGGCAGCAGACCGAACGCTTTCTGGAATTAACGGCGGGGCAGTTTTTCACCTTCCCAGTCAGGTACTTATTTCCAGCCAACACTATCTGTAGCTGAAAATTCCTTCGGCTACTCTAAGGTCCTTCTCCTCTGCAGAAATCCCTCCAGGGAAACAGGATCCCACTGGGCAGACCTCCCCAGCCGGTGCCCGTGGTAGGGACGAGGCACTCGGTTCTCCTCGCATCTCGGAAGGCTGCCTCTGCGAAGCAGGTAAAGACAACGTATAAGCTTGCTCTGCATCTTGGTCTGTTCTAGCTTTCCATCTCTGGGGCTCTTGTGGTACTATTGCCTCCCGTAAACTGTGCTTTAATCAGATTATATCGCGTCCTCTCCATCGCCAATTGTACGCAGGTAGCACCGGACTGCCACGGGCCAGGTACGATCAGCAAGGTAAGGACGGTGTCTCGAGGCAACAGCTATCCTTAGGCACATCACCCCAGGGGTTCAGTTCCCTACAGGACTGAGCCATTAATGAACGAGAGCATAAAATCTCTCATAAAAAAAGTCAGATTTCAATTTATGTATTGACTGGCCTGGGAAATGTATGCTGTAATAATGCCTCCCCTGACAGCTTTCATTAAAAAAAAATGTTCTTTCGTTTACTACTCTGTTCTTTTGGAGTTATTAGCTTTTTAATAATTAGGATTAAATACTGAAGGAGCTTGTACTCGCTTTCCAAGTCATTCTGTTTTTCTAGAGGATCTGTAACCCATTTGGGGTACAAGGAACCTGTTACTGTTTTCTCCCCTGGAAAAAGTTTTGAATGAGTGGGGAATCACGGGCCCTTTTTATTTAGGTTCTTTGTTTCTGCTGTTCAAACGCTGTTACAGAGCCGTTTCTGTAAGCATGATACAAACTATCTAAGAACAAAATAATCTGAAAAAAAAAAGTTATTCTCAGCATTTCCATTTACAGTTGTTCTAAATGAAGAAATGCCTTTGCTTCTGAAGCAATTCGATGACAATAAAACAATAAATGTGAACAAGTGACAACTATTTGTTTCTGAGCGAACAGCTGGATCATCCTCCTAATTTCAGCAGAGTATTTCAGCCTTCTGGAAACGGGTCAATCGAGTGTTACTAAGCATCTGAAACTCGGAATAGAAATAATGGCTATTAGAAAACATACTTTATGTGTACAGCTGCTGAGTGGCGGATGAAAATCCTCTTCTTCCACATATTTCCTTTTAAAGTATGTGATCTTGGATGTTGTTACAGGATTTGAAATTCCCCTGTAATGTGATCCTGTGGGTAATAAATCAGATATGACAAATGACATGCGGTTTGCCGGAGGTTCTCCAAACAAAATACTTTTCATTTCCCTTCGCGCTACGGGAGAACTCCACCGCATATTTTCACATACATTTGCAGCGACCAGGAACAAACCCTCACCCGACTCGCACACAACTCGCCAGAC